GGCGTAAAGAGAAGAGAAAGGAGAAGAAAAAAGTATTCAAATGACCTACCTTTGCCGGGAAATGATGACAAAGATGGAGTTGTGACCGTTGGGGTGTCTGAAGCTTGGTTGAGAAGGTGAGGAACTACCGCCATCGATAAAATTTTCCCACTTGGTTCTCACTGCTTTCGTTTCTCAGTGGGGTCGCACCTATTTGGTGAGACCCCGCATCCCTATTTTTGTGAACCCATTTCCCATCGCATCTCAGTGTTTATCCTGAATCAAACACGAAAAAAGAGGAATCTAAAGAGAATATTCTTCCTTTTACATCCCCGTCGTGGCAACCAAATGGACTGTAAGTTTCCAATATCCATGCCTCCTTGGCTCACACATATGAGTTATGTCATATAATAAAAATTAATCATTTCAATGAACAAGCAAATGAGGATTGACAAAGTATTTAATATGTATGATAAATAATGAACAAAAATACAAATATAAAAGAAGTTATTAAAAGAAAACATACCTCTCCAAGTCCAAGTCTCCACTCTCCATGGTGTTAAACAATTAAGCCTCAATAGTCAATACCACATACCACAATCACTAAATCACTACATCTAATATCTAATAAGTGGTAATTAGTAAATTCACACATGAGTGAGAGTGACACAAATTCACATTCACATCATTGATGATTGATCAAGATTCAAAATCAATAGTCAATATTAACAAAAAACAAGTATGGCATCAAAAAAAAAAAAAAACAAGTCAGTCTTAAACAAAAAAAATGAAAAAAGAGTAGATCTTCATTCTTCAAGCCTTTAAAACAAGGCTGGCTGAATAAATTACTCTCCAAGTGTCACCCATTCACTCTTCATTTCCATAATCTTCTTCCTCATCTTCTTCATTTGGAAGTTCAACTTCATCATCCTCATCATCATCAGCATTATAGTCTCCCAAGGCCTCTTCCGATTCTTCTTCCTCAAACTCTTCATCTTCCAAACAAAGTCGAGAACTTGAACCCCCTCTAGACCTTCTTGCATTGGCTGATGTTGCTGCTCTTGCATGAGAAGTTGAAGCTACACCTGAACCTCTATTTCTTGTGCTCCTTATTGGCTCTTTGACTCCCGAAGCAAGAGCCACATCTTCCCATGTTAAAGAATCATCGCCAAATACCAAATCTTTTTTAGCTCCACCATCTTCATGTGCCATCTCCCCTAATAACCATTCGTTACTTTCATCTACATCTTTCAAAGATATAGGGTTAGTGACACTACGTTAATCAAAGTTCTCTTTAAGCAACTGGTTAAACTTAATGAAGACTAAGTCATTCAAGCACTTTTGATCCAATTGATTCCTTTTTTTTCGTATGGATCTGCATAAATTCATAAAATATAAGATTGATTAATAAAATTAGAAGTTTAAAACTAAAAGTATCAACATATCATGAACTATAAAATATAAAAATATAATGTTAAAATCTTAAGTATAGTTTTAATTATATGCTCAAATATGCTCCCAATTTCTCTCACATCCAGATGCACTACATGTTCTAACTTTCAAGAACTTTAATTGCAATCTTTTGTAAATTTGGAGCTGAAACACCATATGAAACCCGCCAATCAGCTGTAAAATGTTAAATAATAACAAACTATTAATTAAAATTTTATTTAATAAATAAAAAATACTAAACAATTAAATAAACAAACTATTAAGTCAATGTTACTTACCCGATGCTTTTTCCTTTCTCTGCCAAATAGCCATATCAAGACCAAAAACACCCTTTGCATTTTTATATTTGCTTATCTCATTAGTGATTGCATTGATCTTGTTTTTGTCATTCTCAAATAATTCAATTACTTTATGCCCAGTGATGATTTCTTCATCTGAATCAATCCTTTCAGCATCATCATAGTAAAACTCTGGGTTTAAATAGAAGCTTGCTGCGTGCAATGGTTGGTGGAGTTGACACTCCCACCTCTTATCAATGATTTCAAAAATGTTTTTATATTTTTCCTCATTTCCACTAAATGCACTTCAATGGCTTCCTTTGCCTTATCCATGGCTTCATAAATGTAGCCCATTGAAGGCTTATTCCCACGGTCCACCAATCTCAAGACCCGCACAAGTGGACTACACACCTTTAGTGTGAAGATGATGTTGTTCCAAAAAGTGGGCATCATCACTGTCTCCCCTATCTTTTCCCCTTTATTTTATTCACCCACTTTCTTTCATTCCAATCCTTTGAATTAAAAAGATCTCTTAAGTTCTTCTTCTGTTTATAAATGCTCTGCAGAGTGAGAAAGGAAGTGGCAAAGTGGGTCTTTGCTGGCTGAAGTAATTCTCTCTGGTTTGTGTACTTCCTCATTAAATTTAACAAGCCCGGATGATTATAAATATATCCTATTAGTGCATAGCCCTTTCGATTGTTTTCCTTACAACTGGCATCTTTCCAATATCTTCTAAAATCAAATCCAAACAGTGGGCAACACATGGGGTCCAAGTTAAATGAGGATGTTTTGCCATAAAAATTTCCCTAAAAGGCAATAGCACAATAAAATAATCAAACATGTGAAGATTGAAAAGTTAAAGACTACAGAAAATAATAACAAATAACAATAAAGAAATTATAAAAGTAAAAAAAAATACCAGCTAAAACATAGTTTGGAGCATTGTCTGTGATCACTTGAACATTCTTTGCCCCTATTTTCTCCACCATCTTGGCAAGTAATAAAAACAACCTTTCAACTGTTTTCACTTCATTTGAAGCATCAATACTTTCTATAAACATGGTCCCAGCACAACTATGGACCAAAAAATTTATGAGGGTCCTATCTTTTCTGTCCGTCCACTCATCAGACATTAAAGAACAGCCCCACTTTTGTCACGCCTCCTTGTGGTGTTGTAGTAATGTCTGTGTGTTCCACTTCTTTTTTCAAAAGAGGAACTCGCATCTCATAATAACTTGGGACTTTGTATCCCGACCTATATTGTCCAATTGTCTCCATCATTGCCTCAAAACTTTTTAAGCGAATGGTATTCAAAGGAATACCTGCTTGATAGAATCATCTAGCAATGCGTATAGACTTGTTCTCTTGCTTTTTTGTTATATGCATCGCTAATGGTTGTTTGCTTCAATCTTTTCTACTCCATTCTCATTCCACAACTTGTTTTGGGCTAGGTGTAGAAATAAATATATCCATGGGGCCCCTTTGTCGTTTTATGGGTGGTGGCCTACTGGGTTTAGAACACGATTCCTTAAACCCCAACCCCGAAGACCTAGTATTTGAATCAGCACTTACACTACCACTATGCTTCACACCAGATTTCCCTTGGCCACTAACTCCAAGTATGTGAACTTCATCTCCCAAATCATCTTCGTCTTCAATCATGTTCTCGAAGTCATCAAAATCTACAATGCGACCACTCTCTTCTTCCCCACTCATGCTTATTTCATAGATTTTTTTTGTTCATATAAGCTAAGATCTCTTCCCTAACATTTTTAGGACATTTAGTACAAGCTTTTGTGTTTCTCCTACACCAACAATGTGTTCCTTGGCTCTATAAATTCCTCCATTAGTAACTTTTCCGCAGAAATTACATGTCATGGTGTTCTTGAGATCTTGCAAGTGACAATATTTCCAAACTGGATCCCTTCTATTTCCTTGAGTTCCTTGGCTTTCTTCCTGACTAGCACCCACATCAGCCATTTTCTTGTTAAATATTCATGGAAGCAGTGAATCACCGTAACCTTGAATCCATGAAAAAAATTTAAATTAACATAACTATTAAGTTACAAGTATAATTATATTGAAAAATATAAAAAAAACTACAGAGGGTCAAGAAAATGATGGGTTTAAGTTGACAGTTACCTATCAAAGAAGAAAAATGTAGGGCAATGGTCAACACTGACAGCAATAGTTCCATGCTGGGTCCGGAGGAAGAGATTCTGAAATTGTTGTGTTTTGAAGTTTACCATGTGGACTCAAGGCAAGGATTGAAGGTTAAGCAGAAAGAGGTGGAAGAAGAAAAGAGGCAGTTAGAGTGGTGATGTCTTGATTCTGGAAGGTTAATTAGGCCTACTAAACGTTTTTTGTTATGAAGAAGCTTGTGCTTGGGGTTCTGGTATCATGATGATGTCTATTTCTCCATCAGCGCTGATTGGTTGCTCTTGGGGCTTTGTAGGGGGCTCAATCTCCTGTCTCCTTGCCAGTGGTGGGTTCTCATTACTGGTTTTTCTATGTTCTTGCTTCTGTGCTGGATTCCTAGCATAATATGCGATGAGTGCATTGTCGTTTTTTTTTGAATCCCAAGATTGCATTGTCTTTTAATCTTAAAGAATTGGCCCCTCAATTCTTTTCCTATATTTCATGTATGTAACAATGAACTCTTCAAATGCAAGGCACTTAACCAATCATTCTGTTCAGTATTATATCCATTGTTAAATCATAGGCCCTTAATCATTTCTCAATACTTAGCCCATGTCCTTTTTGGTCTGCCCATAGCTCTTCTAGCCCCTTTGACTTGTAACAGACAACTTCTCATTGGTGCTGTAGATGATCTCTGTATGTGCCCAAACCATCTTAATCTACTTTCCCTGATTTTATCACCTGTTGGACCTACTCCTAGGTTTCTTTAAATAAGTTCATTTATGATTCTATTCCTTAGTTTTCCCACTCATCCATCTCAACATTAGCATTTTTTGCCACACTCTTTTTTCTTGGTGTGCACATATAGACAGATATTGTTATTGTTGTTATGATAATGATCACCATTATTATTGTTATTATCATTTGTTTTGGTCATTGTTTCTCTTGGATTGGGGGAATAGACAATCACTTATTGTAATTACTACGCTAGTATTCCCTTTTGACCCCTCTAAAGAAAGAAATAAAGAAACAAGAAGGAAAGGAAGAAGAACAGTGTTCCTCAGGTTATCCTCAGAATTCAGAACTCAGTTTTAATGTTTGACGGTAATCTAGTCCTAACCAGTATATATATATATATATATATATATGCAGATACTTCAAAAGAGGACATATGCCCTCCACATCCTGGCTTTATAAGAGAAATGTGTATAAGATGTGGACAACGACAGGAAGATGGTTCTGGAGTAGCATTTGGGTACATTCACAAGGTAAGTTCTATATTTATATATAACCATATTAATTCTTTGTTTTTTGTTCAGATATCTGGACATATAAGTTTGGTCCTGGCTTATGTTTTACAGATTTAGCATAAGAGTTGAGCAATGTATTGCTGGTGGACAATAATTTGTGTTTTGCAGGATTTGAAACTTGGGATGGAGGAAATTGCTCGACTACGTGGCGCAGATCATAAGAAATTATTGCATGGTAGAAAACTTTACTTGGTCCTGGATTTGGATCATACTTTGCTTAATTCTACCCGGCTTATAGATCTGTCACCAGAAGAGGAATATTTAAAGGGCCAAACAGATTCCTTGAATGGTAGGACCTCTATTCCAGTTCATTGTCTACTATGATTGGTATTTCAAGGCTAGTTGCTTAATCATTAGGTACCTAGGCAGTGCGCAGGTGCTAGGCGGGAAACAACATTGGCCTTCTAAACCGAGGTGGCTTCCTCGCTTTTCAGTGGTTGCTCACTCACTTAATAAACATTATACTTGTGGTATTTGACAATAAATTACCAGCAATTTCATGATTCAATTAGGACCCTTACATCAGTTGGACCATTTAACCAGTAAATTAGTTTAAATGAAACCTAATACCGAGACAAGATTGGTTATGTTGTTATCAGATTACAGTCTGGTGTTGGAAAATGCATCCTTATCTGAGGAAACATACATGGAGTCAAAATCCTTAATGATATGTGCTTCAGAATACATGTGTTATTATATTACAACTACACATTTTTAAAGTGCTAATGCTATAAAATGTAATCTTGAAATGTACATGTAATATTTGGTGACCTATCAGGTACATGTAGTGTCCAACACCAGTATGCTAAGCATTCTCAAGCATCTGGGTATCATAGCTTGAGAGCAATGTTTTTCATCACTAAGAAGGATCACCTACTGAAGTGGGAGATAGTTTCTAGAAGTAGAGATGGAGGCTAGGAATCGGAAATGTCAGGTTGAGAAACACAACATTATTGGGAAATGGTTATGGAGGTGAAGTTGGAATAGGACAGACTATGTCATAGAGTGATTGGCAGGATACATGGATTGGAAAACAATGGTTGGGATGCGGGAGTTGACCCTAGGGCTTCTCGATGTTCTCCCTAGAAAGCTACTCATGGTATATTGCCTTCCATCCTTCATTACTTTAAATTTGATGCCTCTGTGGGAAACACAGTGTAGTTTTGGATAGATGCTTGGCTTGGAGAGATTCCCCTTAGTGATAAAGGGAAAGGGGAAAGTAGTGGTAAGTGGCAAGGGGTTCACCAAGAAGCGGAATGAAGATTCTTAGTTGGAATGTGAGGGGAATTGGGAGTGCAAGGAA